AACTCAAATACTTTTGCTTTTGGATATTTGTACTTGATTCTGCAAATAGGTACTTTAAATAAAGTATTTGTATTTGGTACTTGGTTTTACAAAAAAAAGGAATTCAAATACTGGGCATTTGTACTTCAAATACTTAAAATATTTCAAATACCCCAAAAAGTAAAAATTAATTGAAATACCCCAAAAAGTAATTCAAATACTTCACCAAATGTGAAGTTAACGTGTCCCCTTTTTTGAACTGGATGGTTCCCACTTCCCGGAGAGTCTTAAAAATAACAATAAAAAAAAATTCGAAGTGGAAATTCTCCAATATGCAGAGGATACCAATATGGATATAAAATTAAAATTCTTGGATAGGTTTCCTGTCATAAAAGAAGTTTTTCATAAGTACAATACGTGTCTTCCGTCATCAGCCCCTGTAGAAAGACTTTTTAGTTTTGCAAAATAGGGAACGCAGCTCAAATACATCCCGGCTGTTATTTTCTATTTATCAACCTTATAACGTTTATAACTACCATAGACCTAACTACTACGAATAGACGCCCAGCCAGTGTAACTACTTCATCTAACTAACATCTAAGGCTAAGGATTATTATATTTTCTCCTAGCCATTATCTTGAAGCAATCCCCCTGCACTTTATTTCTTAATCAACCTTTTCTAGATAAATTTTAAATTGTTGAATTGAAAGTAGGTAACTACAATCTGCAACTGGAATCTGGAATCTCTGTAGTATTTTTCACAGGTATTACAAGTATTTTCAGTTTTCAATACAATTTAAAAAAAAATCATTGAATAATTTGAATCCCTTTTTAGTGGGTAGGTACTTGAAGTTCTTTTTATTATTTCAAATACACAGAGGTATTTCAAATATTTAATCAAGTACTTAAAATACTTACAGAGTATTTGAATTATTTTACTTGAAAAAATCAAGTACTAAATTAAAGTACTTGAAACTTGAAGTACTTTTCAAATTGAAAGTATTTAGTATTTGTACTTGCAATATGAATTTCCCGTAATTGATACTTGGTATTTGAAATACTATTTACCAGTATTTGTGACAGCTCTGGTTAGTAGCAGCGCATTTTTGGAATAATATCAATTTTTTCAAATGGAAAGGGTATGGCTCATTAGCATATTTCGAGAGAGCATTTTCTAACAAACAATTCAGTACCACACAATCGCTAGTTTATTCAAATATTGAACTAAAATTTTCCAAAAATTAAATACGTCAAATAATGCATGTTATAGGGGTGAGCGGGTTTTGAAAAACACCCGGTATGTATTCAAAAATTACTTCAGTCTGATAGCTTCAATGACATATTATCACAGATAGACACCACATCTCATTCATAAACTGAATGTGATGACAAGACCTCGACAAGACCCCCTATATTATGGGCCAGGAGAGGTCATGGTAGGGATGCATCAGTGGTGTAAACAAGACCCGTTTTTTCCTCTGAATCCATCATTCACTTGACCACAATAATGCGCACGGGTGTAGCTCGTTTATCTATCTGTCTGCTTCTAACTCATATAATTTAAGTTTGATAGGCGCGTTGATATGCCAATCGATTGCAGCGTGTTCCGCGTATCTTACAGAACCGGCGTTGCCAGTGGTCGTTTTTAGTTTTGAACCTCCAACTTTTTGAAGTAAAGTGATGACAGAATAATATCTCAATCCGTAACAATTTGGCAACCAAATTGGAAGGGATACACCGGTGGTCGATTACCAATGAAGTTTACTCTCCTGGATGTTGGCGACACAAAAGTTTGTTTACTGATGTATATCTGTGTTAATATGTCATTGGATAGCTCATAAAACTCTTATCTGAACTTATTTTTTAGACAATTTCAGCAAGAAAATATTTATTTGCAACTTCAGTTTTAAAGCCCTAAACTTCTATTGCATATTGATTATACCCCAAGTCCTAAAATATAAAACTTATTTATAACTTTATACAAACAAAAAGTCCTCCTTTTCTATTCTTATAATATACTAATAAAGACATCAATACAATAGGTTTGTTAATGCAACAATCACAAACCCACCAATTTTGATTGATCCAAAAAACCGAATTAATTTTGGGTCAATCGAAATCGCTTTAATTGGTTTGTGAAGCAAGAACAAGAAAACAAACAAATTTTGAATTGAACATGCATTAACATTATACAAGGTGTATAAAGTAAAATTCCGTAAACTTGTAAAAATAATATAGTGCACCTTCTTCAAAATGTTCTCTCCCTATCATCAATGACCCTTATCTTTCTTTTTCCTCTTCTTCTTCCTATCCTGCAAATCCTCGTTTTTCTTCGCTAAACAAGGTTTACAATACCAATTCTCATTCTCGTCAGGCGGCACTTGAATACCGACGCACACCCAATGATACCAAGCGTCGCAACCATCGCAACCAATCATCGGTCTACCGTCGTCCTGTTGACCGCAAGCAGGACAGATCCAAACTTCGTTGCCTTCAGCGTCCACTTTAACAAAAGGCGGTTGTTCGATTTTTTTTGGTTTGGGTAGGGGTTTAGGCTTGACCGGATGGATTCTTGGCCTACCTGGAGGTCGACTAGGAGTGGTGGGCGATGACTCTGCGGGTTTTTCAGCTTTTTCCGGACCGGGCGATGGTGCTGCCACAGGCGAAGCTAATTTAGTCTTTGGTGGTCCGATTACCAAAGCGGATATTTGAGCTAGGCCTGGAGAAGATTCTCTTTGAGGTTCTGGCAAGGGTTTCCTTTCAGGAGAATGATCTTCTTTCTGGATTATTGGTTTTATGTTTAGTTTTTTTAGGGCTTCTGGAGTTTCTGGGCGAGGTGATGGAGAGTTGACTTTGAGTAAGATTTTAGGTATAGCAGCTGGAGCTTCTGCTGGAACAACAACTTCCTCTTTAGGCAATTTCTTTTTCTCTTTTTTCTCCTTCTTGATTTTCAGTTTCTCTTTTTTAGCCTCCTTTAGCTTCTTCTTTTCGGTTTTATCCTTAATCTTTTCCTTTTTGTTTTTCTTCTTAAGCTTATCTTTTTTATCCTTTTTGTGCTCTTTTAACTTCTTAACCTCAGAAGGCACCTCCTCATCGTCTTCAATTTTAATAGGAGCCTCTTCAATTACTGGAACAACAGGAGGAGGCTTGGGAATAGGCGAAACTTTAGCAGGCGGAATTGGTATGGGCAACGGACCAACTTCCAACACCTCAGTTTTAATAACTTCTTTTGGCTCCTCTTTTGGTGGTTTAGCTTTAGGAGAAACTTTTTGCACCGGTTCCGGTTTAGGAGCCATCATAGGAAACGCGTAAGGATTCTTGCTGAATTCAGGCAAAGGCGGAGCAAACAACATCGAGTTTGCCATTGTAGGAATTAATCCAGGACCAGCAAAAAACGGAACAAACGGTAGTCCAGGGTTTGCAGGCATTGGAGGAAACTGTGGAGTTTTGCGCATGACCAAATGCGCGTCCGGGGTTTTAGGCCTACCCATTCCCATTGACATGTCCAAAAAGTCGGAATCCAAAAAGTGAGGTTGCGGCATGGGTATTTGTTTGCGAGGTTTTTTGACGCGTGGTTTATCAGGTTTTTCTTTGCGTTTGCGTTTTTCCTTAAACGGTGGACATTGCATTTGGGTTATAATTTCTGGGGTCCTTGGAGTGGGTGGGGTACCAGGAGGTGACCCGTGGTCAAAATACGAGGTCTGTTCCATTTTCATGTGGCTATGATGCATGGACATGGGATTTATAGGCTCAATAGTTATATCGCTGGACAGGCTTATTTTGCTAACTATATCGTGAGCTTGTTGCATTAGCTGATGGGCCGGATTCGTTTTAGGTTTTTCGTGTTTAACATTGGATATTTTCCTTAAAATGTTTATTTTCTTTTTGTCTGGCTCTGTCACTAGTTTATCGATCGGCTGATATTTCGGTTCAGCTTTGACATGTATTGGTGTGATTGTTGTGTTGAGTTTTTCAGTTTTGGCCTTGGCAGCTGCCAGGGCCTTATTGAAGTTAGTTTTTGCAGGTTGCACCTTGTGCGGCATAAGTGGAGGCATTTTAATATCGCCGGCGAATGCTTGAGACATGAAGTGAGTGGGTAAAGGTTGAATGCCACTCATAATTGGAGACATCATGTTGGCTGCATTTGCTGCCATCGCCTTGGCACGTTTTATCGATAACACGTCTTTCATATTGTTGGCTTTTTTGGGTACTTTTTCTGGTGGAAGATCAGGTTTGAATAATTCCTTGGGGATTTTCTCTTTTTTCTTTTCAGGCTTCTTTTTGATGACTGGCACTAGTTCTGGTACTGGGATCGGTGAAGGTGGTTTTGGGGGTTCAGGAGGTGGTGCAGGTGCTTTGGTTTCAGGAAGTCTACCTTCACGAGCCGGTGATAAAAATCCCGAAGTTGTCATCATTACGCTGCTGATTTCTCTTGTAGGTCTACCACTTTCCTCTTCACGTTTAATGCGTTTAAATTCCTGAGAACCCACTTCAGCAGGCTTTTTGAATTGGTCAAATTCATTATCAGTAATTTCTTTTTTGTCTAGAGAAGTTTCATTGAGTGGTTCATTTTGTTCTTCCAGTAACGGATACATTGGGGGCAAATGCTCATTGATGTGTACTGGCCTGGTGACCACTTCTTTACTTCCTGGCTTTAGAAAATTCAAATTGCTTTCCTTGAGAAGTGGATATTTTGGTACAGGGTGAGCGGGTGGTACGAAGTTCACGTAGGTAACGTATTCTTCGAGTTCGGGCAGATTCACCCCCATTTCTTCAAAGGCCAAGCCTAAATGATCCAAATTTGGTTCGGTTTGACCGAACTCATTTGCATAATCATTACTTGTTTTGGCAATCTCTTTAATATAATTGGATAAAATATCTGTTAGTACTTCTAACGGAGTTGTATTGATGGAATGCCATCCTATAGTTTGTAAAATTTTTGCTACTGCAATTTTACAGTGATCGCGAGTATATTCAGCACTCATTTTTATAATTTGTTTAAACGTCTTTTTTAATACAACTTAACGTGACACAACAAATCTGTAAAAATCCACTTCAATATCTACAGAGGATTTCTTGTGGAATTTGTATGTAGCTGGTATGTCGTACTTTAGTTCAGCTAAGACTTCTCCTTTGGCGCCTAACGAGTCTGCGTGTTTTAAAACGTGATTTCTGAAAACAACAAAAACGAGATTTGTATTGCTATGCTATAAGCGATTTCTTTTGGTAAAAGTAGAGATATGGGTGTGAACTCACCTTGTACTAGTTTTATGCAACGAATACACACAATTATTAGACAATTTTAACGCCACTTGAAGAAATTTCATGTCAACACCCTCATTTTGCTTTGTGCCAAAGGGCGGATTCATTAACACTGTATCAAATTGTTTGTGAAATCTAAAAAGTGTAGCGTGTAAAATTTTGAAACGATTTTGGGGGTTCCTTGCAAACAAACAAAAAAACAAATATAAAATACCTTTCAGGAATATTAAGTACGTCACACTGTATCGAGTCAATATTGTACAGTTCGTGTTCTTCAATATTAGCTTGAAAAATGTCCAAAGCGTCTTGGTCAATTTCAAATCCAACAACCAGAGAGGCATTCAATGCTGCCGCTCCAATTGCAAGTGCGCCGCAACCGCAGCCAAGATCGGCTACCAATTTACCATCAATATCACCATATTGACTCTAAAATTCAATTTATTTCAAATCAAACTAATTTGTAAAAAAAAACTAAATATTATTTACCTGTATAGTGTATAACATATGAGACCCCAAATGCGCCGGAGTAACGTATTGCTCCAATTTCACCTTGGGCCTGTCAAACTCTTGAATACACTGAAGACGTTCTTCAATTTTTCTTAATTTCAAACAGGGAAACATTACTTCTGATCGAACCGTGGCAAAACGGGCAAAATCGAATTTCCGAAAAGCGAGTCTTGTGCAATGAAAAATCCCATCGATTGAGCGTGCGCTGTTTGTAGGGCGGCGCGTTGGTGCGAGCTCATGGAATGCCCGTCGGAGTTTTGGGTGGCGCCTGGCGTTAAAGTAGCTGGTAGAGGTGTGGAGTTGAGCGTGGGGGCGGCGCCTTGTTTCAGCAGCAATTGCTTCTTTTGGATTTGGAGTTCTTCGAGAATTTTGCTACGTGCTAATTCTGGAAGAGAATTTTGGTTTTTTTCAATACAACACTACTGGTTGATTTAATTTGGACTATCACATATTCTGTAGGTCCACTAAAACTATCTTTACTAATAGCAACTTTTATTTAACTACATTATCCATTAAACTCTCTCATTCAAACTGACTACAACTTACAAACTAAGCGCTTTATATACAAACCCATTTGAGAAATCTCTAGAATCCACTTTTTTGACATAGGTTCAAAACAGGTTTGAAACAGGCAATGGTGTTTCCATTGACTGTTTCAAACTGGTTTTGAACCAATGTCAATAAAGTAGACGTGAGAAAACGGTTTAGATAATGATAACAAATTCCAGAATATTCGCGCTTATGTCGTTACAGTGACGTCGTCGGCTCCTCCGCATCAATGTAATTTCATAAGAGGACTTTATTAAAAGTCTAGGATAGGAACGGGAAAAAACTCTGGCTTTTATGACCCACCTTAAGTGTATTTTGTTGAAAACCTAACCAAACAATTTGGGATTCAAACTAAAAATGGATGCAAAAACATGAAAATGCCTGTAGAAATTTTTTAAGGCAACTTCAAATTTTACATTGGTGGGAAGGTAAAAAGTTCAAGTAGTTCAAAATGATTTTAACTCAAATTCTGTAGAATATGATGAATCTGCGTAAAGATTTGCCTCTGTAGTATAAATTGTGTGCATGCTACATATTTTAAATTATTCACTGTAGATTCTGTAAAATGTATGAATGAGTAAATTGGAAATTATTGAAAAATAGAAATTTTGCTACTGAGTTCCAGAAGAAAAAATCGCAATTATGTGACTTTTGTGCCTCTTACAAATGCCAAACTACATATTTTTTGTGAACACTGTCATCTGCACATAGTAATTTTTAAAAAATGCATATTTCATGGCAAATGAGGAATTTGAATTAAATCGCCTCTACAGTAAGTATTACTGTATACCTTGTAGAAGGACAAGACAGGGAATACCAAAAATTCATAGAAATTACAACTTTCACAAAAATCTGTTGAAAAACTTGAGGAACGAAACTAGTCTCTACAGTAAATGTCAAGTTTCTTATAAATAGAATTTGGTGGCGACATTCATGAAAACTTGATAACTTTGTACTCATGAAAATAAGAAATTCTAAGTTTTTGCAACTTCTACCAATTCTAAACTTCCTGTGGATATGTACTAGGAACCGTACAATAATGTGTAAGTATGCTTTGTTGAATAAAACTTACAAAACTGAAAAATCTGTAAAATCTAATCATTTTATGGAATATCAGCAATTTCACAGAGAAATCGTCATTATCCGCGGTAAGTGACACGCCTTCTACATGTTTTTATACCTTCTAGATGTTCTAAGCATTTTATGTAGACTCTGTAATTTGAATCCAGAGTTTGGGAAGTCAAAATTTATCAATTTAAGCCAAAAAAAAAAAAATTAAATGAGATACCAATAATTTGTGGATAACTTTTCATAGGATAGGACTCGGGTTAGGAAGACCTCTGATCATTTCTATTTTCAAATTTAATAATAAAAAGAAAAATAGAGTATGATCTCTATCAATATTCATGTGGAAGTTAAGAAATTTCTTTTAATAGTAAATTAGGTTTGAATTTTAATAAAAAATTTGGGAACGATTAGTACTTAGCGAGGGGTGCGACACTTCGCTAATATATTGTACAACCTTTGGATAATCGCGGATAATCTATACTAATATCAATAATCCTATGATAATCCATTAATATCTACTAATACCAAGACTAATACTGGTAATATTTCATGACTTTTACAAAATACCTGCTAATTTTATATAATACTAATAATATGAACTAATCTACAAATCCCAAAATAGTTCACTAATTCATATTAATTTTATAATATCGAATAATATTGGACTAATATCTAATAATTTTATAATATTGCTGCGGCAAGAGATATCTATCGACTATATTTGGATTTTTTTTGCAATCCCAGTCTATGGGTATCTTTCTTTATTCCACAAAAGAAACAAGGACACCAATAGTCACAACTCTTAGTAAAGTTATTGAACACGTGTGTATTGTGTTCGCACTTGTTCGATGCATTTCGTATTTCGCGGCGTATTATTGATAATCAAATAGATCTAAAAAGAATCAGGAATACCTATTCTTCAGAGTATGTAAACTTTCCACTGACAAAAAAGATTGATGTTCTCTGTCGTTGGTTCAAGTTAAATAAAAACGGATTGCTCTATTTAGAATAGAAGAAAAACATAATTTTGTACCTTAATAGTTATTTATCTACAAGCGTGCGGTAACTAAGGTATATTACGCGATTTTGCGTGCGGTAATATTATTACCGCACTCTCTACCTACATAGGTACATACCTTCAATTACCTACCAGAGATAAATTAGCTACCTATCACCTGAATTCTACTGGTTCACTGCCAAAGATGACGGACGCAATTTTATTTTCTATAATTTTTTAAACTTTTTTCTGATATTTTGTTACCGCACGCTTGTACATAAAATACTGAATATAATACGTATGGTAATTAGGTTATTACCGCCCTTAGAGATTGCAAACCTCGCCTCACCGGCTCGGTTTGCAAATTTCTCTTGCATGCGGTAATAACCTAGTTACCACACTTATTATATAATATACTATTATGTACTGTTCCGGAACCTAATTTTGAAAATAACAAGCAATATGTACCATCGTCACCAAAAGTAACTGGGACAGCATCATGTTAGCTCTTGTACTATTATATGATTTTAGGTGTCAAATTAGGGTTGCCACCTGTCCTTTTTTTGAAAAGGACAGTCCTTTTTTCAAACAAATTGTCCTTGTGACTTTTTAAACCCTCAAATGTCCTTTTTAAAAACTATTTCGATAAGTACCACTATTTGTCGGGACGAATTTATTTGCACTCACAGCAGCACCGGTGCAGCCTGCGAGCTTCCTGAAACCCAGTCCCAGTGCTGGTTTTTTGAACGCACTTGGTACGCAGTATACCTAGGCCGAGTTCGTTTTTGTCATCTTTTTCGTCGATTTGCTCAGACATTTTGAAAGGCACGTGATTTGTAAACTGAACTGTCTTATCCAGTCACGTGCCTGTCAAAATTTCGGAGCAAAAAGACGAAAAAGATGACAAAAACGAACTCGGCCCTAATTATGTGATTTGTGAAAAATAAACAATAATGGCCGTTTCCACCAACTATTTTAGGTGAGCCTTAACGATAAGTATTCCCTAAAATGACATTTTCACATGGAGAAATGTCAGTTTAAGGAATACGTATCGTTAAGGCTCCCTTAAAATAGTTGGTGGAAACGGCCATAAGTTATCCAAATATACAATTTTGTTTTTTTTTTTTGGTATCCTGTCTTGGAATGTCCTTTTTTCACTTTTAGAAAAGGTGGCAACCCTATGTCAAATATTTGTCAAATTATGAATTAAATGCATTGAAAGGAATGACAGTAGACTTAGTCCAGGAGATTAATATGATTTTTTTTTGTTCCAGATACTTTTGGTGACGATGGTACCTATCTGCAGAGTTCGTCGAAATTATTATTGATTTATTTATTGCTAAAAAACCAAGAAATTGAAAAATTCATGAATCTGAAAAATCATCAAGTGTTTCTAGTGTTGATGGTTTTTCAGATTCTAGTGAAGACTTAGATGGAATTGATGACGCAGCTAGTACTGCAAGTTTTGAATCTAATTCAGAACAAAATCCAGTGGAATGGGAAAAATATTATGCTATTTATTGATGACACCTCCTATATTATTGGCAAAGCCGAGTCAATTCGGAATAATAAAAATATTCGGTTGAAATTCTTGAAACAATCCCTGGATAAGTTTTATTGACCAGAAAAGGTAGAATACCAAAGTGTACAGTCTAAATTTATTTTTCACGGTCCAATATCTTTAGACGGGTTTGATACCTTTCTTATACAGAGATGGGAAACGCAAACAATAAAGAAAAAATACAGGGAGTTTGAGCAGAATGTTAAGTTTTTTAGGGCTGGTATAGTATTTTTAATCCAAACTGAAACACTAAAAAAACATCTAGTCAGCATACATCAAACAAATAAAGAACATAGGCGTCATTTAATTTTTATTTCTTTAAATGGAAATAATCAATATCGAACCACACAACTAAATAATACCTGGAATGAAACAGCATTCTTCCCGGAAAAACGTAAGTAGCCCACTCCAATAATTCAACCTATAGGCGCGTGCCAACCTAAATTATTATTTTGGGCTACTGTAGCGATATTTCCGCACTGCTTATATTTTGTACAGGGAAACTTTACAATAGATTTTTTATGAAATTAATAGGAGAGAGCGACGCGATGTTGAAATATCCTCGTATAATGCAGTGTTTCAGGTCAGAATAAATATACTATACTTTTGCTTAACACATTTAACAACAGTTAAAGTAGATCAATATTTTGAATGTGTTAGATAGATATACTTAATCAATGCAAATTAATAATTCAAAACCCTAATCGACCAAAAACTACATGAGAATTTCAGTAATCTTAATTAGGTAATCTTTTTGTGTACTCCCTATACATACCTCCTTTTTTTATTAAAATAATACGTGCTAATACAAAAAAATTATTATCTATGCCTAATAATATCTAATAATACTTGCTAATATCAATAATAGTTACTAAAATCTTATAATACTGACTAATTCCTAATATTGGATAATCCCGCGGATAATCTGTTCTAATACAA